TATGTGGTACAACTCTGTGTCAACCGTAGTCAAAAGGTTAATTATCTCCTAATGTTTACGTATGTAAGCGTCATTCAATTTTATTACATTGTTTAAGAAATTATATAAGTTGTTTAAGAACAGAAATTATATAAGACTCAGCATTTATAACCAGCAAGTAAAACTATTCGTGGGAATATCGAAGAAAGATCGAAGAACATGTTATTCTACACGCTTAGTGCATTTTGCGTTGCAGCATGTGGATTATTCGCAACTGGCGAACCTACGCTTCGTAAGTTTTTTTAAATTCTTTATTATAAACTTTCCAATTATATTATTGCGTGTAAATTTTTACTATGTCGATTGTTTTGTTCGCGTAAAAAATATAAAATCAATGTGGGATAAAAATAACTTTAAGAGATATTTATTACGTTTTTAAGATGACGAGTATATAAACGAAGAGGTATTCGAATACAGAATCGTATAATTGAGACGATTAGTTTCATTAACATATTTAATGACTCATGAAACAATTTCTCTTCCATATTCATTAATTGATCTGCTACAGACTAATTTATATCCTCTTATTAAACTTTTATTTCGTGTTTTTTCTAAGCAATTATTAATTACATATATACTTGAAAGTGTCAATTTTTAACATGCGTAAGAATAACGTGAATTACAAATGCATTATTATTTAATAAGTTAGAAAAAAGAAAAAAACCGTAAAAAGAAAAAAAGAGTAGAATAATTTGTCTCGCAATACCAACATCTAATGTCTACGCACTTGACAAAAAAATAATAATCTCTCCTCCAAATTAAATATATTGTAAATTATGTCATATTAGTAAAGTATTTGCTACATTTTTATATTTTTTACTACTACTTTATTCTATTTTTATTTCTGTTCAGCTGTAACTGTCTGCCAGAGAAATTCAGTTGATTATCATGACTGTTTAAAACGTGCTATAATTGAAGCATGGCCACGATTCATTGCAGGTATTTTTTAAAATTTTTAATTATTTATAGTAAAATTTATAAATTTTTATTTTTTTAATTTATATATTTTGTAAATAAATTATATGTATTACTATACATAGTTATTATTAATGCGATGCTGAAAATGTTTCAAAGATTAGTCAACATTAAAAACGTTTTTAACTTATTAATAATTATAACCTAATATATATACATATTTACATAAAATGCTTAAATTTTATTTAAATCAAGTAAATCGGATAACAATTTCTTTAATCAAATCACTTAAAAATATGAATATTAATATTAACTTATTTATCTTGGTAGGACTTCCAGAATTTGACTTTCCACCTTTGGATCCAATATTTTACGCACACGATAAAGTTGTATACAATCAAGGCGAAATACGTGGAGAACTAATTATGACAAATATTACTGATATCGGTTTAGCAGATGCTCGTTTTTTTGATGTAAGAACGCACTTTCATAATGATGCTTTCCGTTTAGAAATCGATGCAGCAGTACCAAAGTTGTATATAGAAGGTGGTGTGTTCCTAAATGGTTCTGTAAGTGTATTCAGAGTTACTGGTAAAGGTACGTACTAATAATCGATATTAAATTACATATACACATAATCTGTATAAGTAGAGAAACTTCGTTAATTTTTTTGAGCGTGTTTCAATTTATGAAACTCAAAGATTAAGGTACCGCGAGATAATTTGAATATTGGGGTAATTTGGATAACAGTAAGCATTTGCAAGAATTTCAGAAAAATAAGAGTTTTTAATATACATTTCATTAGATTAGACATTGATTTAATGAAATGTATCTTAAAATCTTTTATTTTTCTGAAATTCTTGCAAATGTTTATTATTATTCAAATTACCCAGCTGTATCCTACATATCAAACTATACGTTTCTTTCTACAGAAGTTTAGCAAAATCTGTAATATTTGTTTATACTATTACAATCTCATCATTAGTTATTTATGATAATTTTAATAATTTTATAAATTTAAAGATATACAATTGTACGGGCTTGAAATAGATAATCAAATTGTTCACTCCAATCGTTCAATAATTGCGTTATAAGCATTTAAAGACCGTGAGTTGACAGGAGTGCGAAGCTCAGATGATTTCTCAGAACTGATTCTTTATTCGATCACTTACATGTGTATGTGTTAGATGACCTTTTGTCGGACAAATACTGTTTTGCTCACATTCTGTCTAAATAATACAAATAAGTCGTCAACAACAATTATGTGAAAATGAATATTACACACATAAATCTGTATCATAAAATTAATTATTTTTATTAATGCCATTCTGATAAAATAAACATGACTCTTTTAGAATTATTATTATTTTATAGAAAAATGATTTATACCTTTTTCATTATCTTTTTAATAACTTACGTAACAGGTCACTTTAATATAAGCCTGGAAGATGTCAGAGCAACGTGGGATATATCAGGACCTGTAATAAACAATACGTGGACTATAGATCATTTTCGTGTCGCTCCGTCAATTGGAACATTTAAAATATATTTCGACAATTTGGTAGAGCAAAGCCAAGAAATCAGTAAGTGTTAAATTAATTTAGTTATAACTCCATTTTCTTGCTACTTTTTCGAATTATTGAAGTAAAAACTTATATCTAATTTATTGCTTAAATATACATATGTAAATCTCGTCATTTTTTGATAAAAAAGTTTGTCTACATTAATTAAATAGTAACAATCCGTAATTTGTACATATATATATATACGATTAAAATGATATTACAAGTTGTTGATATACGATAAATTGAAGTAACTGAAAAATTGTATAATTGAGAAACTGTTATGTTGAAATTTAAATCTTTCTGAAAGAAATTTCTTCAGAAATCTTCTAAATATAAAAGACAAATTTATGGGATTGTTGCAAGGTCTTTATATTAGAATTAGATTACAAATTATTATATAAAACCAATTAACTTTAAAAAAAGTCATAACGATTCATAATGAGGCAAAGCTAATTACTGATTTCGAAATAAAAGAGAAGTTAAAATGTTGATTTTATAGATTAATATTATTTTTTATTATCTTTAAATTCAAAATTTTTATTTAGTATGTCTATTTTTCAAATAAAAAAATTACAAAACAAAAATGATTATCTATGTAGCTATAATTATATTTATATTAAAATCTTTTATATTAATGTTTTATATTAATTTTTATTTTCAGATGATGTTGTCGTAAATTTCGTAAACGAATTTTGGCCGGCATTATATCGAGTAATGTTGCCATTAACGGCTGAGGTATGGGACCCATGGTTGTGCAAATTTCCCAATAAGATTTTCTCAAAAATTCCTTTCTCAAAAATATTTCCATAAAACTCATATAACATTATTATTATTATTATTATTATTATATACAATAAGATGCAAATTTCTTATAAAAATATTAAAAACAAAAACATATTCAGTTTTGTAAAGATATGTTATCTATTTTTCTGTGATTCTATAACTTAATAACTTAATCTTTGGTTTCTAACTATTATTTGCTTGTGTATAA